TTTTTTTAAATCCTGTCTTAAAATCTGTGGAGGTTTTTTTCGTTATTTTATGCAGGCCAGTTAGTTATACGTCAGCCTGCTGTGCACCTAAATTCAGCCAATCATATATCAACGGTCATCTGTCAATACATTTTTTTTTCAGTCATAGCATCTTGATTCATATGTCGCAGCTAATATACGCAACAGTTGAAATAAGAAATAGGAATCGTTTACTTTCCCATTGAGTTCCGTCCCAGTGTTCACGGGGATGAACGTCTGTGTCTTCGGCAGGCGTAGAGCTAACAGAACTGGCAGCGTTGCGAGGCAAGGTCTCAAACATGTACAGTTTAAAGCCTTCTACACTAAACAAAGCCCTGGCGTCCTCTTCCACAACAACTTCGTCCCCGCGTTCCTCCTCTAAATAAAAAAATGTATGACGGAGGAGACTCATCCACGACCTCCGACACCAAACTCTCCTCCTCTTGAATGTTTCCGCTGTCCATAGCGTTCCTTGACAGTGTCATTTCTAAAGGACAATTTGTGCTTCTGACGTATAGCCTCTGCAATCATCAAATCTGTCTCTGTGCGTAACCACGCCCCCCGCGCAGAGGTTCTGCAACCCTCTTAGCGTACCTCAAAAAAATCCTGACTACACGTCGGACGGTCGCAAACCCATGCAGACCTTAAGCGAAAGTGCGCAGACAAAAAGCAGCTTTGATTGGTCCTTGGTATTAGGGTTGTCACGATTCTAAACTTTTCAACTCGATACTAGGTCTGGGCGATAATTCAATAACGATATATATCGATCGATAGACGTGTGGCGCAATAGAAAAAAAGAGAGTCGATAACAGTTCGATAAAGAAACGCAGTTTTCCTTCCTTCTCATTGTAGCCTATCATATAGGTTTGTGCTAGTCACTACTTCCTCCCAACCAATCGCAATCTCGGACCCAGGCACGCCATCACAAAGCGCCGCCCTCTCAAACCACAATACAGAGCACATGAAGATGTTGGAGCAAGGAGAGGTGGAGGAAATTGTTCCAAAGAAGGGTTTTTGTAGTTTGGCAGTATTTCGGTCATGGCAAGTCGGACAAAAAACAAACCACAGTCATCTGCATACGCACCATTGTTGTTTTGGAAGATAAACACTTGCGCCGCCAAAGTTCTCGCAAGTTCTCAAATAGACTCCCCCTTGTGCTTTGGCGGGAAACTGCTGTGCAAATTTCAGGCCCGACGGTGCAGAAGCATACCAGCAAAACTGGTTTGCGACCAGACTCAAGCGACATTTGATGTGTGCGGTTGCAGAAGTCTAATCTGCCCTTATGTCATCAATTTAGTGCTACTTGGTCCCAATGTAATTTCCCTTTGGGAACCTACTAGCACTAAGTTGCTAACTGGTTAGCAAGATGCTTTAGAGACACCGGCCACAACCAAACTTGTTTGCGAACCTTCCGCCACAACATTCCAGCCCCCTTGATAATCGACCAATCACATTCACTTTATTCACTCGCATAAAGTCGGGCACCACTCGGGAGAATTGGGAAATGCAACAGAACAGCCGCTTCCCTACGACTTTAACATCTCAGGTTCATGACAGGAGCACTAACAGGTGCTTCTTAATAAGTTTCAGTAGTTCCCACATGATACAGACTTCTCTACTGATGACAAGCTAATTAAATGAGGTTTTGTTCTTGCTCTTCTACAACCTCTTCCCAGAAATAACAACAAAGCTACTGGGAAGAAGAAACTCATTCTTTTTTTGCTTTTTTTATTTCATACAAAAAGATCTTGACTCCATCTTTACAGTGCAGCTCTTATTGTTTTTCTTTCATCCTGCTGAAGTGCTGTCATCTTCCCCTTCAGGTTCCCCACAATGTCTCCCCTCAAGTCCCTTCCAACAAGACCTTCATGGAGAGACGGCAGCGATCTGCCCAGACTCATCCGCTGGGATGACTATGAGGAACTGCCTCAGAGAGAAAACGTCGCACCTCAGAAGTCTGCATTACTGGTGAGAAAAGGCCCTGAGGGTTTCAGTAGCTGCTGTGTCTTTATTGAACCAGTGTAAATATGGAAATTTAATATGAAGTGAACTTTTTACTGTTTCAATATCCTGTACATACAGAAAGAAATGGAAATATACACTAGAGTGGAATAGAGGCTGAATTTATTAAAATATTTCAAGCTTCACTGTTAGTATTCCTCTCTCCAAGGCTTTTGTCTGTGTCCTGTACAACATTGTCAGGATGAAGGTAGTTTCTGTTATTCAGCTGCCCAGAACATGGATTAGAAAATTAGATGAAATATTCTAATGCCTTTCTGTAAAGGCAACTATTCAGGGCTATACTCTCATTCTAATTAATAAAGGGAATTGTACTAGAAGTGAGATATCCTCTGTAAATATATAATCTTACTGAATTTCTGTCACGCTTGGTATTACTCTTCTCTTCTTTTCATGTATTCCTTTTAACAAGACTTCAGACTTGTGGAATAAAAGACACAGTGTTGCTATTGGAGATGTGGATGAATGCAAGCTGATACGTAGGAGGGAAGTGACTTCTAAACAAGTGGACCACATCTGGAAATCAATGACTATTACACAGTAGGTTCTTATTTCACACAACTTGTACAACTAAAACATTTTCTGGTTTTATTGTTGTTTGACTTTCTTTTTTAATGCTTAATCTGTTTTTTTTTTTTCTTGTTTTGTTTTTTGAAGTTTGCAGAAAGTTCTGGGCTTGAAGACTCTGGATGGAGTTTTAAACCCAGCACATGTGAATGGCAGGCACATTGTTCACAATATCTTCAATGTTAATAAAGCAGGTTTAGTTGTGCTGGAGAACCAAGCTGGTATGATACTGGGTGTTCCCTTTCAGGTTGATTGAAATATTTTCTAACTATTTTCTATAAAAGGGCTTAATTTTTGTTTTTTATATTTAGAGGACATGCCATATTGGGTGATCTCAGCTATGAGGTGCCTTGCAAAATGTAAGTATACATTAAATCATCACTTGCTTTAGGAGGACTGTACTCATTGTAGTTGTAGGACTGTTTGTGTCAAACCTGCAACGCAGTAATGTTGAGCCTGTGAAGTTTTCAAATTTTCCAATTTTTGATAAGAATTCAAAGTATTTTTGCAATTCAACAAACCACATTGCAGCTTTAATGTTTTAAGATTAAAGTATTTGATTCTAAATCAGACATTCTCAGTAGTTCAGACTTTGTAAAGGAGTTGGCTTCAGTTATTCTTATTAAGTTATTCCATTTTAAAAAGAGAAGGCAGAAAGGAAAAAGAGAAGGCAGAAAGGAAAATAAAAAGTGGTAATTATAGCAAGTATGTAGAGTTGAAATTAAATAAATAAAGGTAAATGTATTATGAAAAAAGTAAATTTTACATTAAATAGTTAAAGGTACTATTTATTGACTTGATTTGCATTTTACAATTAAATAGAGTGTGAAATTATGAAACGTAATTTAATGAATAAGCTGTTACATATTAATTGTTGCTTTTAAATTATGATATAAAATGATAATAGACATTTTTTTTAAAGTAAATTAGTAGAAATGTAGCTCTGTTTTTATTTATTTCATGGTATCTGCAAAGCAGACACATCATGAAGTCATTTGAACTCTCAGCTTCACCCATCAAACTCTATGGGCGGGACAAGTCTGTAAAGCCCCAGACGTCTTATTGGTTGCATCTCACTGAGTGCAACATGAAAACTTCTAAATGGTTTACTTTGTCTCTAAAGCCAATATTTTGCGCTGAAAAAGGAAACAACTTTAAAAACTTGTTTCATTTCATAGAAACTGATGCGTCTGTATAGGGGTGTAAATAATAATCCTTTTGTATCGATGCATCGATCCAATAGCTGACGATCCGATGCATCGACATGTCTGCAAGAGTGTCAATTCATGTTTTTTTTTTTTTTTCCTCCAGTCTTTTTTATCCATTTGCCTCTGAACTTGATTCTGACTCCCGTGCTTCGGTGGCGCTAAACCTATTTTGCCTTCTTACCTCGCTTCCTTTAGCCATTACGCTCCTTCAGCTTGCAGTATTTGTTGATGCAAGGCCTTTCAGACTGTATAACACAGAGGCATTATTATTTTTCAGTGAATGAGGTTTTCATAGGCCTAGGTGGAGTACAACTTTACTACTTCTGGTATTTGCTGTTGTTTCTCAAATAAAATACATAAAGATATTACAGCTTTCACTGATTTATTTCAAATTTGAAATATTCTCTAGCCTGTTTGGTAAAAAACAAAACAAAAAAAAAACAATTAATCGAATCGTATCGTGGTCTAAACTTGAGAATCGAAAATAATCGAATCGTTGGGTCAGGAAATTGATACTGAATCGAATCGCCATGATGGGTGTGATTTACACCCCTACGTCTGTACCCCTAGTTTGTTCAGACAAACCTGAGTTCACCAGAGACGTTGCTGTGGTCCAGCATGGTCGGGGCTGCCACAGACCTCAGACAGAAATCATATTAACCCCGCTTTGACTATTCTCTCATTAACTTGTTAAAGCCCAAACTAGGAACTTAGAGGCTGAGGCTGTTCACTTGCTGTATGGCTAGTTAATGTAAAATGTTTTTGAAGTTATTTCCACCTTTTCCAGACATTGAATTCAGCTTTAAAAAAAATAAAACAGGAAGAAGCCGTCTTATCTTTTTCAGTTGGAAGCAGCCAGTCAGAAGTCAGAGTGCCTAGAAGCAGAATTAGTCCTGCCTAAAATTAATTGTAAATTTTTATGTTGAATTGTGCATGTACTTATTTCATGGCATATCTATTTGATTACGTTTCCATAAACAATGTGTTGTTTTTGTGAAATATAGTACTTAAAAGTAATGTAGATATACATCATGTGCTGAAGCTTCATATGAATTTTAGAAAAACTGAAAATTTAAGGGGGAAAAATAGATTTGGATCCATTAAATGATTTATCACTTTTTAAGAGTTAATTTGTTGTTTTATTGGTCCAAAGTGTTCATCTTTATTTAAGAAGTTTTGTCAAGATATCTGTCTTGTTTCATGGACAGATCATTTTACTTGAATGCAGTTTCCTTCAAATTTAGTCTTTTTATCTTTTTTAGGCATCTTTTTTTATGAACCCTTGTATCTTTTCTGCAGTCACTAAAATCAAAAAGGCCAAATTAGCAAACAAATATTCACACCTTTTTTGACCAATTTCTTAATTTATATGAGTTTCCCCTCATAATAAAATCCTCAATTACTACCAGCTGGAAGACAAGGGGCATACATATTTTTTGATACATATTTATTATCTGTAAATAATAACAGTGAATAAGTTGTACTTCATCCATACAGTCTTTATTTAGGTATTTTCTGTGTTTCTCCTTCAGGGCCTGATGGAAATGATGCCAAACAGCCACTATACCCAGGTTTTGAGCGAGATGTTTTGAGAACAGTCGCAGATTATTATCAGAGACTAAAAGAGCCCTTGCTGACCTTCCATCTATATGAGGTCTTTGTCAACATCCTCAGTGAGTACTTCACATTGCGGACCCTCTACAATATTTGGCCTCAAGGACAGATAAACTTTCAGCCATGTTAATGTAGTCAATGTCCGCCTCAGACAGCAGGAATCTTCTCTTTATATTTGCAGGCTTGTTACAAGAGCAGGAGAACGCCACTGAAGCTCTTCAGGTCAGCTGCCTGCTGCTGCCGCCGCCCAACCGGAGACGGCTCCAGCTGCTGTTGCGCCTCATGGCTCGGGTCTGCCACAATCCTCACCTGCCTCCACTTAATGACGCCATTGCTACTCGAACACTGGTACCATTTCCTGCTTTTTCCCATAACATTAAATCGTATAGATTTTCTGTTTGGCTAATTTTAGAACAAAAGCTTCAAGTCACTGAAATCCAATAAGGGCCCTGACAACAACAACACACACATTTTTTTAATTCGTATTAGTTAAGAAATATATGCAGTGTCATTTTTTACAAGCTTTTAAAAGTATGTTTTTTTTTTTTTCTTCAGGTTGAGCGGTTTAGATTCAAACTTTTTAATAACCTTGTTTAGCCAAATTATATCTATATTCTTCATCTCCTGACAAAAATTCACATTACCCCTTAAATGGGGAGGCATATTTAAAATATATTCGACTTTTATTTTTTATTATCTATCTTGAATGATCCAGGCTAAATTGACAAGTTAAATTTTTTATTTTTTTTCAATAAGACCTTTATTTTTCATTTACGGTTTGTATCCCACAGGATACATAACCTGTTTGGGGTAAAACAAAACAAAAAAAAGCTCCATATCTTTGTAATATTTTATGTATCAACTTGTAAAACATTCTAAATGCTTTAGGATGCTTGATAATGTTGGCAGATTGTCTGATCCTGTGGAGGGATGTCCTCCCCCAGACAGTCAGATAGATGCTGCCAATTAGATATATGGCCATTTCCACATTGCAGGCCTATTGTTGGGGTGGCAATATTTCTATTTTTTTTATAACCAGCACTCCGTCATTTGATTTTTCTTCGTTGGACAAGCAGCACGATTTTTCAACAGACCAGCATTTCAACAGGCATGGCCGTAGAAACATCTTAGTGACATTGCAGCCAGCAATCTTCAGGACACCAGAATGTGTGTCTGCTGGTCTTTTTGCTCCCAGACGCGTGGCTTATGCATGGCTACGTGTGGTTTAATGCCCCCTTTGCACAAATGCGTTGTGCATGTACTTACCCGTTGCTTCCTGATCCGCCTCCCTGTAATCCTCATTTTTTATTTCCATTAATCATTCATTAGCATTCCTTTCCTCTTGATGCACACTGGGCTTTTGCTGCTCCTGAAACAAACTCTACTCTTAGCCACCTATGAGTGTGTTCTGACATTACCCACAAATCAAGATGACGACACTTTACTTACTTACTTTGTTTGATAAAACCTGTGCCTGCCTCTGTCTTCACTATTATAAGGAACAGAAGCGGTTAATCCTCAGGTATCGCTTTATACTGATTTTGTACTTGGATCAAATTACGCCTGGGTGTTCTCTTGGTTATGGGCATGTGCAGTTGGCTATCTGTTGGGTTTGCACGCACAGTCCTGCACAACGAGCAAAGTTCTTCAACCACAGATGTAAAAGTATCACCTGAACTCTTTACAATGTATATTACACCATTTTTATCATACATCTCCAGTCATAATAGCAATAATCATTGTTATTGGGGTAGGCTTTACGCAGCTTTTTTCAAGCTGTAAAATACTTTGTCTTGCTGCTGTCTCAACAGTGCTCTCGTGTCGAGATGGCAGCATTATAGTAGTCATTGTGGGGGTATTTCATTGGTCGTAGTAGGAGCATAATGTTGTGAAGGGTTTTCATAGTAGTTGATTATCTTAATATTGGGGATTGGTTATGAAAAACAACTAACCTCTCATTAGGTGTTGCATTTTAAGCAGGCTGCCACTGCAAATGAATGCATCAGCTTGGTTTTTAATGTTTCTATAAGGTCACAAGGTGTAAATGTATCCACTGTTGTAAAGGGCAGATGGTTCATAGGCCTTTTTGCACCCAGCTTTTTAAATGTCTGTATCTCCAAGGATCCAAAAAACATTTAAGGGTTAAGTTTGAATTGAAAATACAAGCCACACAATGCAGTGCTTTTTTAAAATACGTTATTTTTCATCAAGACTGATAATACAATGTACATGCTCAATTTTGAGCTCAAGTTTGAATTAATTCCCAAATTCACTTGTTTAGAATAATACAGGCTGAATTGTACTGTGTCTTCTTCTCTTTTTACTACAGACAAAAGGTTTTGCATCGGCCTCCACTCACCCCCATCGTTTCCTTA